CCTTTGTTCATTCCATTTCATTTACCCTGTGCAAACCAAACGACCCTTAATAACTTTGGATATGTCTGCATAAATTCTTTTGAAATATTGCTCCTTCTAGAGTTCTAATCTACCTTTTCATCTCACTTTGATTTACCTCAAAAAAAACAAAAAAAAAGGACGAAAAGATTAAAGAGAGCATCATTGTATCACTTTGACGTATTGTGTAACATTTCCACCCGTCATTCACTATTAAAAAAACAACAATTTTTTGGTACAGCAGGCCACATCATGCGGCAGGGATTACTCAAGTTTTTTTTGTTAGAGGTTACCTGGGGTTTTTAGCCATGGGTTACTTGAGTTTTTCAGTCAGGGGTTATTTGAGTTACTTGGTCAAGGATTACTTGAGTTTTTCGGTCAAGGGTTACTTGAGTTACTCGGTCAGGGGTTACTTGAGAGGTTCAGACAGGGTTACTCGAGGGATTCAATCAATTAAGGGTTACTTAGTCAGGGGTTACTCGAGGGATTCAATCAATTAAGGGTTACTTAGTCAGGGTTTACCCGAGTTTCTCGGTCAGGAGTTACTTGAGTTTCTCGGATAGGCTGCTATCAAAAACTTGTGTTGAGTAACCCCAACAACTCGAGTAACCCATGACTGAAAAACTCGAGTAACCCCTGACCGAGAAACTCAAGTAACCCTAGAAAGTCAAGTAGCCCCTGCGAGAGAAACTCAAGTAACCCTTGCCGCACGGTACAACAGGTCGCATGTAAAAATTTGTGTTAAAAAAGAGAAAAAGTAAATGATATCTTAGATTCTTAGGGATTACTTTACTAGTTTAGAGCTATTAATTTGACGCATGAGAATATTTAAGATAAAAGACAAAGGATAATTTTTTTTTTTTAAGGATAATTGACTCTGATCACACCTCAACTCCCTCACAGAGTTTTGACTCGGTATTTACGGGTCAGACACTTTAAAAATGAGGGGAAAGGATAAGGTTGGAAGGTATAATCCTTACGCTTAATCCTTACGTAAGCGTAAGGGATAATTTGGAGTGTAGTAGTGTAGTGTCAACTGCCAAGTCTCAAGTGTGGTAGTTATACGAATAAGATTTTACTCTTTTTTTTTTTTGACAAACAAGATTTTACTTCCTTTATCTTAACAAGTGGGCCATTGGGCCGTACTGCTAAGAGGCTCACAGCCCATTCCACTTGGATTCGCGCGCTTCAAGAGCCCAATGTATGGTTCGCCTCATTCATCAAGTCACCATCATCATCTATTACAAGTATGCTATTCATCATGATAATTGAGTTGAATTTAATTTGTCAAATCATCTACTCCATTAATTTCTTCAATTCAACTTCTTCAATTATCATAAATTATCATGAGATATGAGTACCAATCTACCAAAAAAATTAATCGTAATAAATACCACACATTGATTTTTGTAATATCCATAAACAAAAGTTGAGAATAAGAAATACTTGTCATACTATAAGCAATAAAACAATAATTACTTATCTTTTGTTGCGTGAATGAAACTAACAGTAGTAGTATCTTAGCAAACCACTGACCTAAAAGACTATTTCGTGCTACCTTTCGGTGCAGTAGACGTGATGTAGTTGCCCTGGCCTCCAGGATAAGCATGGCATCGGAGTTTATGTGCACTTACAAACCCAACTGGAATTTAGAATACTTACCCAGAAAACAGAAAAGATTAAAACCCGTGTTTGGCAATTTTAGAGAATAGAGAAAGTGATTGTTGTTGTGTGTTTTTGCTTGAAGAAGAACCGAATATATATTTATAAGCAAAAGTGGAAACGGCTAACAAAAAAGAAGGAAAGTACTTAGCCAAAAAAACCGTCCAAATTAACTAAGTCAATCAAGAGAAATGATCAAGGGAGTGTAAGAGTCAGCTATATAATCAAGGAATTAGAGACTGAATAGATCCCCAACAGTCAGAAAATCTCAACAGTCAAAACCGTGATAAAAGCTAAGCAATATTCCGTCAACAAAGAAAGAAAATAAATTCTCTCCAAAAAGATAGAAGGCCCCACTAGTACAAAATTAGGTTTTTATAGCACTTTTTTTCTTATAGCGGTTTTGTTAGTTATGCTATAAAAGATATCATAATCACCTTATAGCGGTTATTAATAAACGTTATTAGTTTTTATTTTTTTGAATGGAATAGGGAAGGGTGATTTCATTAAATAATAATAATAATTCGACACTTACAATCATTCCTTAAAAGATCTAAATTCTCAATACAAGAATTAAACACCGCTAAACTATTAGCATCGCTTCTGAACTGCTCCATGATAGTTTTAGATGCCTTTACATTGTTTTTGACGGAACTCTATTGATGTATAGTCACAAAAATGATAAAACTTGATTGATCATCAAGATCTACAAATTTGCAAGACGAATCTTCTAAATTTGCACCCTTATACCAACATGCCTGCAATTTCACAAATTTTCAAGACAAATCTTTCAAATTTGTATTCCTGTACACACGAAAAATAAACAAACAAACAATACTAAACATCCCACCATTAGGGAACTGACTAAACCCTACATGGAGGGACTGAATACAATCACCATATTGTTGGTAATCTTTATTGTCAAAAAACATAATCTTTTTTATCAGTGGTAGCCCCTAAGTTTTACTATGGTGGGTAGGTTTGAAGAGAGAGAACATAGAGAGTTTTTTTTTATTTTATTTTTTATTTTTTTTTATCAATTGTTTAATTATAAAATGTAAAATTATTTGGGTAAGTCTTGTATGTGGTTAGCCACATAGTGTGACCATATTTGTTTATAAGAATAATCTTGAATCAGTGGTTTATATCCAATTATCCATTATCCGGGTGGTGGCTATGAAAGGTAGGGTGGCGGCCTGAGCGAGTGAGCGTAGAAAGATAAGGGGAGGAATTTAGGGTTTTTACTTTAGTGAGAGATTGAAATTTGAATGTGAGTAGGGTGTTTGTTTGATTATTAATTTGTTTTAGGGATATTCATTTTTTAAAAAATATACTCCGTATCTAATTTCAATATTTATCGTTTAAATTATCAAATATTGGCTCGGATATCCAATATTATTCGGATATCGATTATCCGAAAATTTTAAAACCAACATCCGAAATTGTATCCTATACGAAATGAAAACTCAAATCGGATATCCTAAAATTCGGATCAATTATTGCGGATTTTGGATTTTCGGATTGTTGTGTACAAGCCTAGCTAGCAATAACCACACGGCCACAAATGCACACGACTACAAATGCACGAGTCTTTTTTTAACGTACCACAACCACATTTTGCAATAACAAGAACGTACAACTAACAACATATATTAAGACGAGATCTTAACAATTTCCCTTGAAATGGGATAAATTTAAAAAATGATCAATCACTTGAAGAGACCTTTAGCCTTGTCCATCAAACTCTCCTCTGGTGGTGGAGGAGCGGGTTTAACAAAATCCCCGGCCTTGTTAAGAGCATCTCCAACGGTGTTCTTGATGTTTTCAGCCATTTCTCCGGCAGATTTGGAAATTTGAGCCGTGTCAATCTTGTCAGTCTGTTGGGTGACGGTTGTTTTCACTGTCTCCCCGGCATTCTTGGCACCATCTACTATGTTAGTCATGGTTGTTTTCTCAGCCATTGCTTAGTATGAGAATATTTGGCTAAGGTTTTACGGGTGTGATTTTTTTTTTTTTTTTTTTTTTTGTAGTAGAAAGTTTTGGTTGTTTTGTATTATGTTAGACGTTGGGGTTTTATAGGGGTTGTGTAACGAGTAATGTGGATGTATGGTTGAGATATTTTGTTGGCAATATTCATTGAAGTTTTGTGGTGGCGTTGAATTTTGGGCCCATCGTTATGGAGAGCTATATCTTTACACTGCTAAAGCTATTGCCGACATACACAATGAAATATCACGACTTTCACGAGTTTACAAATAAAGGAAAAATTATAATTTTGGCATTATCTTGAATTAAAATGAAAATTGTGATACCTAACGCAAGAGATTACAAATAAGTGAATGACATTCTTGTTATTACACTAGCTCTTAATTTCATGTCTAAGTAACCAACTTAATTGTAAGATTAAACTTATAACTTTATAAGTATCACTTTATAAGTAACCAACACCTTTGAGTATGTGAGCAGTGTAAAACAAAACTTTACAACAAAATAAAATCAAAGGTTGTAAATTGAATTGATTACAACGAAATAAAATCAAAGGTTTTAGTTTGAATTATTAGTACAGTATATATCTTAGTTTTGGACCAGAGATATGTTGTTATTTGAATAGTGTGATTAAGGGGTGGATTATTGTATTGTAAATTTGTAAGTTGTAACTCTTTATAAGTTACTAGCTAAATAACTTTGGATATGTTTGCATAAATCTGTTTCTTCAAAAAATATTGCTGCTTTAAAAGTTCTAATCGATTGTTTCATCTCTCTTTGATTTATCTCTCACAAAAAAATTCAAATAAAAAGACGAAAAAAAAATTAGAGAAAGATCATTGTATCACTTTAACATATTGTGTAACATTTCCACCGGCCATTCCACTGTTAAAAAAAAAGAGAGAAAATGATATATTAGATTCTTAGGGATTACTATACAAGTTTAGCGCTATTAATCCGATATATGAGAATATTTAAGAGAAAAGACAAGAGGTAGTTTGGAGTGTAGTAGTGTAGGGTCAACGGTCAACTTGTCAAGTGTGGTAGTTATACATACTTGTAGTATATCTTAACAAGTGGGCCATTGGGCCGTGTTGCTCACAGGCTCACAGCCCATTCCAGATTCCACTTGGATTCGCGCGCTTCAAGAGCCCAATGTATGGTTCCGCCTCATTCATCAAGTCACCATCATCATCTATTATGCTAGCTATTCATGATTTTAAAATCGTTACAAGTCATTTTTTTTTTTTACAGTGGATAAAAAGTCAAATGTTATACTTCGTATTACATATATTAAAACACATGTATGACAGAGATCAGGTAAAAAATCAAAATAGACGGAAGAAAACATGTCCTTAGATATATTACATGAACAAAAACAACAATTTTACACACTAAAGAAAGCCTACAAATTTACAAAGTAAATAAAAATAACACACAACTAACAACATTTTTTTGTAGTGTTTTTGACAACTATACAACATCGATCGTTTATAACTAGATTGTTCTCCATGAAATCCAGTATGTAATAACAAATAAAAATGATGAAACAATGATTACTTGAATAATCCTTTAGCTTTATTGATCAAACCTCCAACACCACCATTCTTTTCACCACCTTCTGCAGCCGCAGCAGCAGACTCAGCCTTCTTCTCAGCACCCTCGGCTGCTACAACAACAGACTCGGCGGCCTTCTTTTCAGCACCCTCGGCTACAACAACAGACTCGGCGGCCTTCTTTTCAGCACCCTCGGCTGCTACAACAACAGACTCGGCGGCCTTCTTTTCAGCACCCTCGGCTGCTACAACAACAGACTCGGCGGCCTTCTTTTCAGCACCCTCGGCTGCTACAACAACAGACTCGGCGGCCTTCTTTTCAGCACCCTCAGCTGTTACAACAGACTCGGCCTTCTCGGGTTGATCAGAGGGGGAGTGAAGCTGGTGTAGATAATCCTCAGCTTTGCCAACATAATGTCCAACACCGCTATCTCCGTCGGGCTTACCGTAGGTCTTGGCAGCATTTATAACATCTGTAGCAGCTCCGGATACCTGAACCTTGGCACTTGCCATCAACTCAGATGGGGTTTGGCTTTTGGGAGTTTCTTCTGCCATACTAAAGTTTTACGTATTATTTAACAATTTAGATGTAATTATTTTGTTGGAAGTTTTAGATGATGTTAGCTTAGAAATGGCTAGGAATTTAAAGGGGTTGAGGATATGATCATATACGAGTATTATATAAATGATGTGTAGGATTAGATATTTTCTATCGTTATAATAAAGTTTGTAAGGTGGTGTTTAATCATGGGCCCATTGAGATGATTAAACTCTTAAGAATTAAGAGTTTTTAATATGTTTTAAGTCATTGCCGACATGATAAATTATAGAGTAGGCTTAGGGTATGTTCTTATTTCACTTTAATTTCAATTCAGCTCTAATCACTTTAATTCACTTCAGTTTAGCTTAGTTCAATTCAGTAAATGTGACTGGCCTAAATGTATTGTACGAGTATAAAATTAGAGTTCTATTATTCATTTTGTGTTTTGACATGAATATTACTGATATTGATTGAAATATATAGTATTATACTATACTCAAGTACTCCAATCCACTAATAATTTACTTAAATATTCACTATAAGTAAAGAATAGATGATTGAATAGTAAGAGATCAAGATATCTAAAAGTGGCAAATTGTAAGAGTTGTGTGCTTCGCACATTATTAGGAGTAAATACAAGTTGATATCAGATATCAACAAAACTTGTTAATATATAGGCTAATTTTGTAAATTTAGCTACCACACCAAGGATAATATTGTAATTTTAGCAACCACACCCCCTTTCTCTCCCCTCTATCACCACCGTGTGCAACCTCTACTACCACCCACAACACCACCTTTACCTTCACGAATCGACCCCTGCCGACCACCGATCGACCCCAGCCGACCATCACACGGTCGCCACACCAACATTCGACCGTCGCACCACCACTAGCTACCACCCACAACACCACCTTTAGCTTCACTAGCCTTTACGAATCGACCCCAGCTGACCACCACAGGCCGCTGCACCAACATTCGACCGCCGCAACACCACTAAGCTAGTACGAGCAAATCCCTGAAGGATTTGTATGGCCCCAATTTTCTAAATTGCTACTAGGTTTCGTTTTTTTGGCCGGCCGGCCGCTGTAGATCCGTGTATATATGTGGTCGACCTTGGGTATGGGAATGGAGGAGAGAGAAGGAAGTAGTGGCCACGGGAATGGAGGAGAGAAAAACAAAATTTGGTCATGTGAGAGGAGGAGAGAGAAAAATTGGTGATATTAACAAAATTTTGTTGATATCAGATATCAACTAGTGGGTCTGGCTCAATGAAGGATAGGATCTTGTTATATACCGTATATATTGATACTTAATTTGAATATATAAAAGAAATAAGACAAACATAGAAGAATAAAAGGATTTTACTTTACTATCTTGTTATGCATCAAATGTAAGAAGTAGTTTATTTTACTAAACTTGCTTTAACGTATTAATTAAATTAGTTGGTCGATTGGTCAGTTTATATTATAATTTAATTTGATTCATGTCATCATTGATTAAGTTAAGCCGATGTAAAATCGGGTGTTCTGATCTTTATAATCTCAAGCTAAGTATAATTATGTAAAAGATCGATAACATCGATCATGATTCATGACTACTTTGCCCATTTTTTGTATTTTTATATAAAAATAGTAGTGTAATTCGATCAAATAATGATAATTAACAACTCAAGTCATGACGTACCACATTAAAAATAATATTTCCTTACGTAATATGTTGAAAACGTACAATATTACAACTAATTTAACTTACAAAGAGTAGTACGGTTTTTTTTTTCCACTAATATACAAATCTAGTGTATCACTACATCACACAAACACAAACAAATTACATTACTTTAATTTACACAACCACACCACAAACATTTTTTCCTTTCCTTTAATTTGTTTTTCTATTTAAACAACGTACCACCACAACGACAACAAAAACGTACAATAACTAACAATTACTCCGTAACAAACAGGATATACTAGAAGAATTTATTCAATATCCCATAAAATTAAGCAAACTTATTGATTATAATTAATATGATCACCCGTTGATCACTTGAAAAGTCCTTTAGCCATATCCATCAAACCACCACCACTAGACTCCTTCTTTTCACCACTCTCCGGCACCGCCGACTCCGCCTTCTTTTCACCACCCTCCACCGCAGCACCACCGTGTTCTCCATGAAGGTTATGGAGATAACCTTCCGCCTTACCAACATACTGTCCAACACCGCTATTATCATCGAGCTTCCCATACGTCTTAGCAGCTTCTAGAACATCTTCAGCAGCTTCCGAGACCTTAGTCTTATCAATCTTATCAGTCTGGTTGGAGCAGGCAAACTGCGCCGCCTCGGCTACGATCTTGGCGCTCCCCATCAGATCGGATGTTGATGATGGTGCACTGTGGGTATTAGTAGCTTCTTCAGCCATAATGAACAAAATATGAGTGAGGAATAAATAATAAAGTGGGCTAAGTTTAGAGAATGAATGAACTTTTTTTGTGTAGGTTGTTTGTTTTGGTTTATGAGATGTTAGAAAAATAGTAGGGGATTTAAAGGGGTTAAGGAATGTGGAGTATAGTGGATAAATGTATGATTGAGATATTTTATTTTGGAAAAATTATGGTGGTGTTTAAAATGGGGCCCATATTTGAGGAGTAAACTTATTGCTTTGCCAAGTTGTTACCGACACAACCATAAGTTTAATGCAATTACGTATGCAGCCTTTGATTTAAGGTGCTACGTGCCTATTTCTTCTTGATTTTGCTAATGACTAACTGTTTACTCATAAGAGTTGAGAGGGACTGAGGCTATTCCTTGGACAATTCGAAGGAAAGTATATGTGAGTATGGCCGTGTTGCGTAGAAACCAGAAAATAATAATATTAATATTAAAATTAATTGATGGTCGGTTAATATAGATGTAACACTTAAAAAGAAATAAAAGGATCAGAGTGTATGTTAGTTAAAATATTTATAATCGATGTTACTCTTTATACTTAGGTGTATGTTAGTCAAACTACAAGTATATCCGAATATGGAATATCCCTTACCAAAATGGTACAATTAAGCTTTCTCCTATGTACTTGCTTTACTCTTTGTATCACGCAAATTTTGTCACTGTCGACCCTCTTCAATCTTCATGAATAATTATCTAAGCCCATGCTTAGTGCCCACCATCCACCAATCACGGACCATATCAATAATCGAGTCACTATTATTTTCACGGGTATATTGGCTTGCTTTGTTACTTTTCTAAAGTTGCTTGCGACTTGCGATTCGATCTTACGAGCATGAGCCTATTTGATGGTTCCATAAATAGGAATTCCTTGTGAACCAATTTGATTATTCCATGGAAGAATCACTTCCCCTTTACTACACATTGTAAATAATTATAAAATGTTCAAGTTTATAAACAAACATTAACTTATTTGTGGAAATGAGCAACAAATTAAAATCACGGTATTCAAGTTCGATTCGTTTATTAAACATCATTATTGAGAATAAGGGAATTGAATTCTTCCTAATAGTGTGGCCGCGTAGCATGTAGCATGTAGCATGTAGGGACTCTATCACTGTTAACAATCTTTAACTACATATAAAATTTCGTCTACTTCATTTTTTTTCCTCAACCCCATTAGAAAAAAAGAGAACACTAAGAGCATTTACATTTGCTAAGAAAGGGCAAGGATCAATTGCTTTTCAGTTGTCTAATTAATTAAAGTGACTTGTTGTCAACCACGGAATTGGTGCTTAGGCGCACAGATTGCAAAAAATCAATCAAAAACTACTCGGCTACTCAAATGTGTCCCAATTGCCTTATTTAAGTCCCAGGCTTGTGTAGTTTGATTTATGATTCAAGAAATACCAAAAGCCCAATTGACATGATCCTATAATAATAATAATAATAATCCTATCCTCAATCTCAAATTGACCAAGAAAAATGACCTTGTATAACTATATTATTTTATACTCTATCCTAGGTTATGATAATACAACGAATTTTCTTCAAAACGTAACACATTCATCAATCATACAATTGAAACTGTAGGTAGAGAGACTGTAAAATCAGAAAAATATAGATTGAAGTGTGGGCCGAATTTATTTAATGTAGGTGAAAAGTTGTGACGTGTTTAGAACACTGTCTTAGAAGCAAAATTCGCCCCGACTATGGTGCAATCGGAGATGGCGTTGCCCCCCAAGATTTAACACAGCGATCTCTCTTAATGTGCACTCAAAAAGAGAGATTAGGAACTCACAATATGCTCACAACGAATTTAGAGGAAAACTGGAAGAATAGAGAGAGAGAAAGGAGAAAGTTTTTTTTGTGTGTTTTCAAAAGCCACGGAAATCAGTTTTTTTATAGAGGAAGAAGATCGTAACTGATGGAGAAAATCAAGGCACAAAATAAATCGTGAGAGTAAAATCAGGGACAGTTACAAACGTTTAAAAAACTGAGTCAAAAGTCGTTGCGGGCTTCGTAACTGAACGATCTCATAAAACTGGAACGTCAGTTACGACTCGGCCCAAAAAGGTAGCCCCACCACACCGTGCCACGAACACGAACCGAACCGGCCGGACGGCGGCGGCGGCGCGCGTGGGGATGCCCCTTTCTAGCCCACAACAATAGGGAAAGCACTTCAAACATCAAAACACAAACACACATATTTAAACCAAGTAAACCTTCCTTATCCCACCAATGTGGGACAAAGAGTTTTCCTCAAAAAATAAGAAACCTTCCTTTGCATTATTTCCAACAATCCCCCACAAATGCGAAGGACTTACTCAACTTAGAAATTAGATCCTAATAACACATATCTTACCTTAAACCTTGTGAGTTCCACGATAAAAATCAACCACTAGTATTGGCCATTAAACTTGGGATGCTCATGAGTGCTTTAGAAAGACTGCCCAAGTCTTTCATAGAAGGTGTCCAGACCTTCACACCCATGTAGGTGATTTCATCAAGTATATCACATAGACCACCCAAACCCTGGGATATGAAATCATTAAGAACCTTTGCTCAACCTCACATTATCAAAGCGGTGAATTCATCAATTCCATCTCATTAGGACCACCCAAATCCTGGGCTATGAATTCATTAAAAGCTAAAAGCTTAACCTTACTAAATGTACAGGTCATAGGAATAGGAAGTGTACAATTATGAGTCTTTCCATGGTTTCGTTAGTCCACATGAATCCTTGTGTGAACAAGGTCGGGTATCCACCATGAATTCCTCAACTAACGGGCTTTAGACCCATTCCCCTTGACGTATCAAGGACAAGTCTTCTATTTAGTCCTTTAGTTAATGGATCTGCTAGATTCCTCTCAGATCTTACATATTCCATAGTGATAACACCACTTACTATTAAAGTCCTCACAGACTCATGTCTCACATGAATGTGCCTCTTTTTTCCATTGTAAGCACTGTTTTTGGCAACACAAATTGTTGAGGGTAAAAATACCTCGTATACGTGGACCAATCCCATAGTGACACGTGGCCCAGTTATAGGGTGACACGTGTCACCACGGGAAGATGCCACGCAATCCAGAGTTCTTAAGGTCTCAGGCCAATCCCATAGTGACACGTGGCCCAGTTAAAGGGTGACACGTGTCACCACGGGAAGATGTCATGTGTTTAGGCAATAAGGAGTTTTAAAAGGCACAACATCATAACTATTAAATTTCTTTAACACTTTTTCCACATAATGAGATTGAGACAAGGAGAAACCATTATTAGTTTTAGTAACTTTAACACCCAAAATAACATCAGTTTCACTTAAGTCTTTCATCTCAAACTGAGAGGAAAGAAATTCTTTAGTTTCATTAATAACATCAATATGTGTACCAAAAATCAACATATCATCTACATATAAGCAGACAATTACACAATCAGATCCAAACAATTTTGAGTACACACACGTATCAGCACGGTTTGCTACAAACCCAAAACTGAGTATGGTTTTATGAAATTTTTCATACCATTGTTTTGGGGCTTGTTTTAATCCATACAAAGATTTCTTTAACTTACACACTTTTTGTTCCTGTCCGGGAACCACAAACCCTGGAGGTTGAACCATATAAATTTTCTCCTCTAAGTCGCCATTTAAAAAAGCAGTTTTTACATCAATTTGATGCACAATCAGATTATAGCTAGAAGCTAATGCAAGTAAAGCACGTATAGTGGCGATCTTAGTCACAGGTGAGTAAGTGTAAAAGAAATCAACACCAAATTTTTGTGTGAACCCTTTAATCACTAGTCTTGCTTTATACCTTTCAACAGTACCATCAGTTCTAAGTTTTATTTTAAAGATCCACTTACAACCAATGGCCTTACTACCTTTAGGTAAATCAACTAGTTCCCACGTATGATTGGACATGATGGACTCTATTTCACTATTAACAGCTTCTTTCCAAAAACTAGCATCAATTGAACTCATGGCCTCTTCAAATGTTTTAGGCTCATCATCAAACAAGTGATAACATACAACAAGTTCATCTAATTCATCAACATCATTGAGTTCAGTTAAGAAAGTAGTCAAAAAATCAGGACCGAAGCTAGTCTCAGTTCTACGTCTCTTACTTTTCCTAGGCTGTACAACATCATCATTTTGAACAACAGGAGAAGGAACAGGCATAGAAGAGGGTGAAGAAGCAGGAATATCCACATCATGAGATACATTGTTTTTCTTCAAGGGAAAATATGTTCAAAGAATTCCGCATCTCTAGATTCACACATAGATTTATCATTTAAGCACATGAACCTATAAGCTGCACTATTTGTAGCATAACCAACAAATATAGCATCAAAGGTTTTCGGTCCAATGTTTTGCCTTTTAAAGGAAGGTAAGGCAACTTTAGCAAGACACCCCCACACTTTCAAATATTTAAGGTTAGGTACATGGCCTTTCCACAGTTCATAGGGAGTTTTGTCAAGTTTTTTATGAGGTAATTTGTTCAACACATAAGTAGCAGAAAGAATAGCCTCCCCCACATATTATCAGGCAAACCAGAACCAATCAACATGGCATTCATCATCTCTTTAAGAGTTCTATTTTTCCTTTCAGCAATGCCATTTTGTTGGGGAGTGTAGGGAGTAGAAATTTCATGGATAATTCCATTTTTCTCACAAAGTCCTTTTAAAAAGGTGGTTCCATACTCTCCTCCCCTGTCTGACCTAAGTCTTTTAATCTTACGGTCCAATTGGTTCTCAACTTCTGCCTTATAAATTAAAAACATGTTTTCGGCCTCATCTTTGGTCCTTAACAAATACACTTTGGTATATCTGGAATGGTCATCAAAAAAGGTAATATAATACCGTTTGCCGCCTCTGCTTACGGTATTCTTAAAGTCAGCTAAGTCCGTGTGAACCAATTCAGGCAATTCAGTTTGTCTACTAATTACAGGTTTGAATGGTTTATTGGAATGTTTAGCTTCAACACATATTTCGCATTTATGACCATTATGGACAAGACTAGGAATTAAAGACATGTTTTGCAAGCGTTTCATAGAACCATAATTTACATGTCCTAATTTAGCATGCCAAGTATCAAAATTCTCAACAATATAAGCAGAAGTAGAAGCTTTATTAATAGAATCAGCAACAAATACAGTTTCTAAGATAAATAACCCACCAGACAGATATACCTTGCCCACAAATTCCCCATTACGAGATAAAACTAACTTATCACCTTCAAAAACAAGTTTCACACCAGCCTTGTTAAGAAGTGCACCAGAAATTAAATTCCTACGAAGGGAAGGGACATACAATTCATTTTGCAAAGACAAAGATTTTCCAGAATTTAACTTAAGGAGAATTTTTCCTTTACCGAGCACTTCAGAGCTGCTGGAATTCCCCATATAAACTTGGTCAGCATTCATAAATTCTGTAAAATCAGAAAAAAGATCTTTGTCAGAACAAAAATGTTTGGTGGCTCCTGTGTCTACTACCCATTCTGCTTTGTTGCCAACAAGGTTAATTTCTGAAACTACTGCAGCAATAACTTCATCTGTCTCTTCTGCAATGCGGGCTTGGATCTTGTTCTGATCTGATTTCTGCCCATTGTTGGATGCATCTTTGCGGTTGTAGCATTGCCATGCCTTGTGGCCTTGCTTCACAGACATAGCAGCCACCATTGCTCTTTTCTGCCTTGTTGTTTTTCTTGAAACTGTTGTTCTTTTTGTTTTGAACTCCAAGGGGTTTCTGATTTTGGTTCTTCTTGGAATTTGCAGCAGCTTTGTTTTGTTTGTTAAACCTGTCATGTTTTGGAACAGAAGATTCCACAATGTTAGCTTTAACAGAAAGTTCATAAGAGGAAGAATCCTTATCCTTAAGGCGATTGGCTTCTTCAATCTTCATATGACCAACGAGCTCCTCAAGAGACATATCCTTCTTCTTGTGTTTGAGATGGTTGCGGTAGTTAGACCACGAATCAGGCAGCTTCTCGATCAGAACATTAGCTTGCAGCACCTCGCACATCTTCATACCCTCGGCAAGAATGTCAGCAACCAGATTCTCGTACTCATGAACTTGCTCCATGATCGGCTTGTCATCAACAATCTGGAACTTCAGCCACTTTCCCGTTGCATACTTCTTCTTTCCCGCATCATCATTCCCATACTTCTTCTCAAGAGTCTCCCAAACAGATTTAGCAGATTTGTTGGTGATGAAGAGATCGAACAGAGGATTGGACATGTGGCTGAGAATGGGGCCTCGAACGAACTTGTTGTGCTTCTCATACTTCGCGATCTGTTCTTGAAGGGCAGAGGAGGCTTGAGCAGAACCAGCTTCAGAGGTTGTTGCAGTTGGGCAAACTGGACAGTCTTGGAGGAGGACATAATCAACCTCCAATTGTTCAAAAAAGATCAGCAATTTCTGAGACCAGCGTTTGTAATTGGTGCCATCAAGAGGTTCGAGTTTAGAGAGATCGGGAAGGGTTTTAGCAATTGAAAATTCCATGATCTGAAATTACAGTAGGGAATTTTGCTTCTAACTTGTAGGTAGAGAGACTGTAAAATCAGAAAAATATAGATTGAAATGTGGGCCGAATTTATTTAATGTAGGTGAAAAGCTGTGACGTGTTTAGAACACTGTCTTAGAAGCAAAATTCGCCCCGACTATGGTGCAATCGGAGATGGCGTTGCCCCCCATGATTTAACACAACAATCTCTCTTAATGTGCACTCAAAAAGAGAGATTAGGAACTCACAATATGCTCAGAACGAATTTAGAGGAAAACTGGAAGAATAGAGAGAGAGAAAGGAGAAAGTTTTTTTTGTGTGTTTTCAAAAGCCACGGAAATCAGTTTTTTATAGAGGAAACGTAACTGATGGAGAAAATCAAGGCACAAAATAAATCGTGAGAGTAAAATCAGGGACAGTTACAAACGTTTAAAAAACTGAGTCAAAAGTCGTTGCGGGCTTCGTAACTGAACGATCTCATAAAACTGGAACGTTAGTTACGACTCGGCCTAAAAAGGTAGCCCCACCACACCGTGCCACGAACACGAACCAAACCGGCCGGACGGCGGCGGCGGCGCGTGGGGATGCCCCTTTCTAGCCCACAACAATAGGGAAAGCACTTCAAACATCAAAACACAAACACACATATTTAAACCAAGTAAACCTTCCTTATCCCACCAATGTGGCACAAAGAGTTTTCCTCAAAAAATAAGAAACCTTCCTTTGCATTATTTCCAACAGAAACTATATACGAAGTATGTAGTAAATTTACAAAACATTAAAATAGTATTTCATGCATACTCTATAATATACAAACATGGTCCAAGGAGGATGACTTGTAACATCATTTCTTTAGAATTCCTTGAGCCATTTTCAAATAATCTCCATACCCTCCTCCACCTCCACTATTCGAGTGTCCATGATGACCACCATCACCACCTTTTTTAGCACCATCTTTCTTTGCTCCACCAACACTACTTGTTGAATGTCCATGATCATCATCATCTTTCTTCAAAAACCCTTGAGCCATCTTCACATACTCCCCATACCCCCCCCCCCCACCACCGCCGCCACTTGAAGAATGCCCGTGTTCTTTCCCACCTCCTTCGACGTGGGACCCACCATGCACAGCAGAGGTGGTGGAGTTATTAGAAGAATGATAATTGTGAAGGTAATCCTCAGCCTTGTCTAGGACTTTTCCATAGCTTTTGTCCTCCAATTTGCCATACTTTTTGGCAGCTCCTAGAAGGTCAGCCGCGGCTTCAGCAACTTCATCCTTGTTAATCTTGTCATTCTCTTGACCAAATGAGGATTTCGCCGCAGCAGCTATCACCTTGGCGCTTGACATTATATCTGCATTGGAAGCCGAGGTTTGCTTGGTGTTGCTTTTGGTGGTTGACCGTTCTTCTTCCATTATTCTAGCTATGTGCACTTGATATAATCCGGATTACTCTTGGTTGTTTATATTATGATTTCGAGAAGAATTTAAAATGAAAAAAAAGTTTAAGGCAAGGAAGAAACATGAATTATAAAACTACCTGATTTTGGTGTATGAAGAGGGTGGCTAAGAGAGATTTTAGCTGATTTTAATTAGATATTTGACTTAGCCAAATACTTTTATTAGTACTATTAAATTCTAATATTATTCCCCTCAAAGAAATATAGAAGGACATGAATTTCTATCCTACACTTAAGGTCATATGGAAAGCAGAATATAGAGGCTAAAATCTTATAAGATCAGAAGCTGAATGTCATTCACTCATAACCCTCATTTTGTCAAACCTTTTAAGTGCCAGTGTGCCACAGATTAAAATTACTACCTCCATCAATTATTATGTGTAACAAGAATATTTTATGTCTCACAAATAATACCTCTTTGTTGCACATAATAGTTAACGGAGGTAGTATTTCATGTTTGACTAAGAACCGATCAAAATTCCTCATTTTCTCGTCGGTATAAGCCAATTCACAAAATTATTGTACTAGAGCAAATGAAAGGAATTGGTCAATCGGAATACAACTTCTATTCTAGTGCTCAAGATTACAAGCATAATTTTTTGCATAAGCTAAACTTAGAAATAACAAAGCACAAAATTAATCAAGTAATTGACATTCATACAATAATCATACTCATAATCCAATACAACAAGTCAGTATGTAATTGACACAATTTCAAACAACATTAACCCAAACCATCAAATTAATTAATCAATGTTTCTTCATAAACCCTTGAGCCAATTTGATATAATCTCCAGCACCACCACTAGAATGACCTGTTCCGCCGCCTTCGCCGCCATGATCTTGTTTCTTATTCAACAACCCTTGAGCCAACTTAATATAATCCCCAGCACCACCGCTACTAGAATGTCCTGATCCACCGCCTTCGCCGCCATGATCTTGCTTCTTATTCAACAACCCTTGCGCCAACTTCACATACTCCCCATACCCCCCACCACTTCCACCACCACCGGAATGACCCTGACCATGACTATACTTCCCGTCACCGCCGTCGTGGGGGCCACCGTACCCGAAGGAATGCGCGGTGGTTGAAGAGGTATACGATGAGGAATGAGATTGAGATTGAGAAGAAGAAGATGACGAGTTATATTTATGAAGATAAGTTTCAGCTTTACCAACGTATTTACCGTAACTCTTCTCATCGAGTTTACCGTAATGTTTGGCGGCGCCGAGGATGTTACCGGCGGCTCCGGCGACTTTAGCTTTATCGATCTTTTCGGTATCGTGGGCTAAAGCCGATTTAGCTGCGTCTGCCATGAGTTTAGCGCTTGCCATGAGTTCTGATGTGCTGGGGGTGTGACCCTGACCCGGAACTTGGCCCGGACCCGAGTGGGTTTTGGTGGGTTTACCTCTTGTTGTGTAGTATTCGTCTTCCATTGTTTTGGATCTGAGGATTTGAGATGGGGTTTTGGGAAATTGAATAGTCAATGAAGTTGTGATAAAAAGAAATAGTTTTATTTTGTGGATGAGGAAGAAATGTTGGTTTGTTTGTTGTATTAATAGTGGACTGTTAAGCGGTGGAAGAGCGGAGAAGTTGTGCGCGCCGTCCAAAGACTTGAGTTGAGTTGTCAACGCCGAGTGGTGAATGACTTAACACACAAGATTTAACTTCCACGAATTATTTATTAGATTGTGTAAATATAATTCGTTCATTTTCTATTTGGTTGACATGTTCAATTTAGGCACACATATTAAGGAGATGAGAGAATGTGAAAGAGAATGATAAAGCAAGTGGGGTACACTTAAAAAACAAGGTATAAAACTTTCCCAAAAAGGAAATATGTCAATTAAAAAAAATCCTAAAAAGAAAAACGTGCCAAGTAATAAAAAACGGCAGTAAGTATTTTATTATAAAATATGTTGTTAGGTAGGTTTTAATATTAAATTTCATAACATAATTTTAAAAATAATTTTCATTAATATTTAATCATATAGAAATAAAGTCAAATTAGTGCATTGGCATGTGTGTAATATAATGTTTGACTGTGTCACGTATTATGGGGACCGAGGAAGTATATGAATTAATAAGAATATCAACATTTTTTTAGTTGTGGCAGGGGTTACTTGTAGGATCGGAGTTACTTATTTGGGGGTTACTTGTATGAGTTACTTATTCAAGAATTACTTGTATGAGACTATGAGTTACTTATTTGGGAATTACTTGTATGGATTACTTATTCAAGGGTTATTTGTATGAGTTACTTATTCAGAGGTTACTTGTATGGGTTATTTATTCAAGGGTTACTTACTCAGTCGCTTAGCGCAATTTTCGTGTGAGAGTAACCCCCGACGGACCAAGTAACCCTTGAATAATAAATAAATCATATAATTTACCCTTGACGAAACAAGTAACCATTGACCAAACAAGAAGCCTTAGAATAAGTAACATTTGACCAAACAAATAAACCCCTACAAGTAATCCTGACCGAATGAGTAACCCCCTACAAGTAACCTCTGACCAAACGAGAAAAGAGAAAGGTGAATATTGATAGCATATATACAATTACATTCTCTAGTTACTTCGGTAGACACTTGTGATTTCAGACTCGAGCTTGACACTAGTGAGCTTAGGCTTAGCTCAAGCTCAAAGCTGAAGCTAGTCGAGCTTGAGAAAATCGAGCTCAAAACCTTCGACACAAGCTCGGCTTAGGGCTTGAACATCAAATGCTTGATCCTAGTCTTAAAATTATTTGTGTTTTTATCAAATGATAATTGGAATCCCTCACTAAAACCCAAATATGATAATAACTCCCAAAATCCAAATGTTAATAAATAATTTTAGACTACAAATTTTATACTTCAACTTTTGAGCATATTAAAAAAAATACTACCTCTGTTACAGATTATATGCAACGATTAGACATTTTACCTCTTTATTTATGTCAAATCGTTGCACATAACATGTGACGGAGGTAGTAAAAAAATTAAGTTTGTTCACAAAATTTCAAGTCTAACGGTCTAACTAAAGATAGTTCAACTCTTACCTTCTTAAGCCGAACCTGATCTTGAGACAAGCCAACTTGAGTCGAGGTTTGACATATAATCCATGATTTGTAATCCACGCATTGGGTCTTTAGAGGGAAGAGTTCTTTTAACCATTTCTAGCAACTCGCCTTCCCGGCTCCTGACGTACTTTTGAAAAGTGGCATTCTGGATTCCGGAACCTCTTCCATCTTCATGCTGCATTCTCACTCATTTTCTCTCTCCTCCACTCTGGTATCTCTCTTTTCCCTCTCTCTATTTTTTTAGTATTTATTCTGAAATCGAATTGCATGATGATTACGACCCAAATTACAACATTTCATTTCGGAATTAGATTGAAGCAATATACGATAATTTACATAAACCCGAAATTTTGCTCTTAATTTGTCTTCGTTAATCGAAATTTGGACCTAAAATCACTGATAGCAATTCTAATTTTCGTTCCCTAATCACCCCAATTGATATATTTAGAGAACAAACCAAGTTAATTGCTAAAATTTGTTGGTTTTCATGAATTATTAATAGAATTGGGTATTGATGATGTTTAACATTTTGACTAGGGCAAATTGAGTTTACCTAGGGCTAATAGAAGCTCTAATTGCCCAAGATTTTCAATGGTTTCAACGGAGAACAACGGCCACAAAATGAAAATACCGCATGTTATGACGGTGGCGGGTTCGGACTCGGGGGCGGGTGCAGGAATACAGGCTGATTTGAAGGCCTGTGCTGCACTTGGGGTTTATTGTTCAACTGTGATCACAGCTGTTACTGCTCAGAATACTGTTGGGGTTCAGGTCTATTATTTATCTTCATTGTTTTGGATGTATATGTGATATAAGAGGATGTGCATTTTGGTATGTTCATTTATTGATCAATGGTCTATGGAATTATAACATCTTATTAGTAATTGTAGGGGATGACTAACAGTTGATTGTTAATGTAATGGTAATGCTTCGTAGATTTGACCTTGTCTAATCCCGCATTTGAGGTTGTAGCCTTGTTATTAAGGTTGGTGGTATGTCGAAGGAACAAATGATAAAATATATCATGATAAACTCTATAGTGATATTAAAAAATTCAGCTTGGTGCTCACTGACCCTTGTGAAATCTTAGAAAGTTAGAAGTTTAGTACGGAGTACTATGTTGGTCACATATACTGCTAACACTTGGGCAGGGAATCTAAGGTGCCAATTCTTGATTTGACATTGGTAGAAGGTTATCTATAGTCATTCAGAGCCTACATTTTACAGGATTAGTTAATAATTATATGATTGTATTTTGTATCCATATGGGTTCCACTGTCGTTTTGATCCATACAAATGGGTGATTGTAGGATAGTGATTGGTTTATTTAGCATGCAATATTGTTCGCATACCTTTGAATTGTGAAGGTTCTCAATTGATGAGTTATGTGTGAAGTTTGAAGATAACTCGTGGTCTAGGAGTTTTAATGTGCTAAGGGGTTTTGCCAAAGTATCAAGCACTGTTATATATCGGGAGTGCAACGTGGAAAAAGTCTCCAATCTAGCTTGAGTTGAGGAAAGCACAACTGCACAAGCTTTTATTGAGGGTGTAACAGAATTTCTGGATAAAAGGAGTGCACAATCCACATAGTATGTTGGGTGTACAATTGCACATAATATTTACACATTAGTTTAACTATCTCTCAGGGTATTAAATGTATTCTTAGGTGAGGGTGAGAAAGTGCAATTATATTCAAATAAAGCTACCATTGTATCCCACTGTTATTTATTTATTTTAATGGGGACTAACCTTTGCGAAAGAGGTTGTGGTGTAGGTCTATTAGGAGACTAAAGCTCGTACTTATTGTGTGGTCTCAGTCCTGTCTTCCTAGATGTTTTACTATTGGTTGATCTAGTTGCTTATGAACACTTGTGGAATCCTATAAGGAACTTTTTTTTTTTTTTGTATTGTGTGCTAACATGTCATGTTTTAATACAATGGTGAGCTGTTTGCGAACTTTGATGTTACTAATGGGAAATATTTGGCTTGTTTTATAGGGTGTCAACATATTGCCAGAGGACTTTGTGGCTGAGCAAATGAAGTCTGTGCTTTCAGATATGGAAGTTGATGTGGTAAGTTCAGTTGAAGTTATTTGAATCCTTTTTGTGAAGGGTTTTTCTTCAAGAGGTATATTAGTGGCTGAACTTGGTCCTGATAGGACATTTCCTTGGGTTAGGTTTTGCTGAGCTGCTAGGCCTGCTACATTATGCACCTTTGTTGATTGCTTCAACTAAACATGCTCTAGTCTCTCATGATGAATGAATGTATTTATGTCAATTTATTCAAACTGTATGGCCTGACATTCATCAGTTAATTGCTTCAAAATCTTTGAAGAATATCACTATAGACCTGGGTTCATTATTGTTTCCATGCTGGTATTCATTAGCTAATCAGTTGCTAGTTGCTTAATTTATCTGCATTTAAATTAATAAACTTTTTTTGAACTATTGCCAAGAACTCCCTGTGGTAAAACTTAATTATCTTGATACTTATTGCATTAATGTAAGTCGAACCAACTGAAAAGCATTCCCCGAAGTATGGATTTTTTTCCTGCTAAACATCTTGATTATATTTTAGAACAGGAGAGCATAAGTGATTGAGATTAGATGCTTTGTTTCAAATTTGGAGTTGAAAGAGTCATTTTATTTTAAACTCTTGATGTGATTTCCACCTTCCCCCCCCCCCCCCTGCCCCCAGCTATCACCACTTTCTTTATACTAATTTATCTTTTGATCCTCAAAAGCTTACATTCCTACAACTACATGTCCTGTCTCATGTTACTAGACTGTAGGTTTGTTGTAATGATTTGAAATTTCTCAGGTTAAAACGGGTATGCTTCCTTCTGTTGGTATGGTCAAGGTCCTCCTCCATTCCATCAAGGAGTACCCAGTTCAAGGTATGTATGCGTCTCTGGATTTAATGATTCTTAGTTTTTGCTGCAGTTGTGTATTGTGAGCTGAGTTAATCATGTTATTGAAGGAAGCTTTGGTGGTGGATCCTGTGATGGTAGCAACCAGTGGAGATGTGCTGGCTGGTTCGTCTGTTCTACCTGTATTTAGGTATGTGCCAATGTGTGACAGTTCTATGATGCATTGCCTCCTTAGGGGAAGTGAATATGATATCAATGTCTATGTGTGATGTATAATAAAATTTCATCCTAGAAATAGGAAAGCAGAATATTTTTCAGTGCTGATATTTAACCAAAGTTAGTCACAAAGCAATGAAGAGGCAAAATCAATTAGAATTTGTTAGACTGTAGTTGCAAAAAGAGGCTTGTATGGAACTAATGGAAGGTAGCTTTGTTCTTTCTCCACTATGTTTTTTAGGCTTTTGGGCTCGATTAATGATTTCTTCCCTTTTATCAAGGCTGTAGCATTGATGCCCATTCAGCTTTTATAATAATTTTCCGTTTTCAGTCGCTTTCTTTTGAATTTGTATGTTCTAATTATAATATTTGTTGCTTTCTGGAATTAATTTTGATACTTCTACTTCTACATGCTACCCCTGTTTCTTTATTAATCTTTAAGTAAACTATATAAAACAGGCAAGAGTTGCTTCCTATGGCTGATTTAGTGACACCAAATTTAAAAGAGGCATCATATTTGCTTGGGGGCATGCACCTTGAAACGGTTGCTGACATGCGGTCTGCTGCAAAATTGATACATGATATGGGTCCACGGTAAGACCTTTACATGCCTTTGATTTTCTTATTATACACTTCTTTTCTTTACTGTGCTTATTAGTTTATAATTAGGATGTTTTCCTTTTATTCAGATGATTGTTATTTGTAATTGATACATGTGACTACTTTAAGTGTGGAAACAAAATTTGTATCTTTTTAGTTGCAGTTTGTTTTAATTTGAAGTATGTGAAATTGTGTTCTTCATTCTTCTATCAAATACTACTATCAGGTCTATCACTGTATCACAGTTCTAAAAAGCTGATAAAATGATCTCTTTATTATTTTTTTTCTTAAGCTATATCGCCTTATTGTGTTCTTCATTCTTCACCAGTGCACATTTAAGCCCATACCAATTATATATTTCTAGATCACTATGTATCTTCCCCCATTTTTTTTCCTAGATGGCCAGCCAGTCCCAATACTATAAATGCTTTGATCAATAACTGGCTTGGGTGATGATCACATGGTGTTTTTGGTGCATGTAATAATATCTCATGCAGTTGCTATTTGTAGGAATGGTTTTAAAACCATCACTTTGTGGTGATGGGTCTTTGGTTAGTTGTTGAGATTGAGGCCCTGGGTCCTGGACCTGGACTCTTTGGTTTGACTATTTGTAAAAGAATCGCAGCCAAAAAAGAAACAGTGAGAAAATTAAATGAGGGATAAATCGATTATTAATTTTTATGCCTGATGAAGAACACAAGCTGCAAAGGTTTTTCTGCTAACAAATACGTAATATACTTTTTCTTATTTCAGAAATGTGCTTGTGAAAGGTGGTGACCTCCCTGCCTCAATGGATGCAGTTGATGTATTCTTTGATGGTATACTATTACATCCCTTCAAGTCTACTGTGGTCATGAGAATGACCTTTTCTCTCTGCTATTTCACCTTTTCTTTGACAGGTTATGCTTTTTTCCCCCCCCTAATAAATATATATTTACAGGAGTAAATTTGTATGAATTGGGCTCAACACGCATTAATACCCGTAATACTCATGGCACTGGATGCACATTGGCATCAAGTATTGCAGCTGAGTTAGCGAAAGGTTTACCAATGCTTTCAGCTGTTAAGGTAATTTTTTTTTTGTGTGTGTCATTGTGAGGTCATTTGTAATCCTTGATTTTTGTGTCATTACGTTCTTCTAAGATCTGCTATTTTATAGACTACTAATCACTAATGGAGACCCATTTGGTAGGCAGTAATAAATATGGTTGTTGTAATGATATTATAACATCTTTTTCTATTTTCTTTTGCAGATTGCCAAACGTTATGTTGAGACTGCCTTGAATTACGGAAAAGATATGGCTATTGGTAGAGGACCTCAAGGCCCCTTTGATCACTTGTTAAAGCTTAAAGTCTGCAGATCAGTTGCGCCTCGTGCTTTCTGTCCATCAGATTTATTCCTCTATGCTGTTACAGATTCTGGGATGAATGGGAAATGGGGCCGTTCTATTTCAGATGCTGTTAAAGCTGCTATAGAAGGAGGAGCAACCATTGTTCAACTCAGGTATGTTTTGATAACTTATACATTCATTTTAGCCTTTTGCTTCAACAATAGACTTGAGTGTGGTGTGAGTTCAGTTTGGCAAGAAACTAGTACCAAGTAAATTGCAACTTGAGGGAAATTATTCTATTCTGTACTAGGAATATGCATTTATTTATTCAGCTGATTTTAGTTTTTAAATGGAAGTTTTCCATAACATTGGGATTTTCTTTTGAGTTCTGATTGGTGCTGCTAGAATATTACTTTACACTACTGGGATACTGGCTTATGTATTTTATTCAATTATAAACAAGGTCCTTAAGTTTAGAGACCCTTTTCTCCAAGATATTACACGAAGTATGGTATTTCACTAGTTGAAACGTGAGCATAACAAATTATTTAAGAATTCTCAATTATGAAAGTTCTGAACTCATAAGTGGTGCTAGATCTTTAAATTCCAGTTGCTATGGCATAGTTAAGATTTTACGTTGTTGGGACTCTTGTTCTTTTACTTTTCTCCAGATCATCACCTTCACTTGTTCCTCTACTCGCAGTCTCGCACCAATTATTGTCTCTCTCCACCTCTTCCAAAGAAGTTTTTTTTTTTTTTTTTTTTTTTTTTCCCCCTATGATAACGAGCTCTCCATTTTTAGGTCCGGTGCTTTCTAACTGAGTTCAAAATGAAGCTGAAAATTGGCAGGATAATAGCCAAGGGTTCTACTATCATGTTCGAAAAAGGATTCTAATGATGGATTGTTTTAAACTGAATTAAATTATTTAGCCGATGCTTATTCCCCAGATACCGTCATTGCCTCTTCTCCTTAGACAGTAAATGAACAAAGTCTTCTCAGAGAAGTGTTTTCTGCTTTTTATTTAGTATTTGTTCTTGGCTTGTTGCTATTGGCTTCAGAAAGTTTATAAGGAATTTACGAACGATATTTATTTTCAACCAGTTGGCCTTTTTCTCCTCCCTTTTGTGTGTTGCCTATCTTCCCTGTTTCCTTTCGTTGTTTGGACATTTTCACTTTGTTTGTAGCTAACAATTTTGCAGCTTATGGTAATGATTTATATTTAGTTTTGTTTCTGGACATGATAAATGTTTCCAAGATTTGCTGCTAATATGTGCTGAAAGATCTAGTTTTAAGTCCTCATTTTTTATTTTTTTTAATTTTTTTTTTAGGGAAAAGAATTTGGAAACCAGGGACTTCATTGAAGCAGCCAAGGAGTGTGTCAGCATTTGCCACTCTAAAGGAGTTCCAATCTTAATAAATGACAGAGTTGATGTAGCATTGGCTTCTGATGCTGATGGTGTGCATGTTGGCCAATCTGACATGCCAGTATCTCTTGTTCGATCTCTTCTAGGACCTGAAAAGATTATTGGTGTTTCATGTAAGACCCTACAACAAGCTCATGAAGCTTGGATCAATGGGGCTGATTATATTGGTTCTGGTGGTGTTTTTCCAACTAACACTAAAGCAAATAATAAGACCATTGGCTTGGATGGCCTGAAAGAGGTCTGCTTGGCATCAAAACTACCTGTGGTTGCAATTGGTGGTATTGGCTTGTCCAATGCTCATTCTGTTATGGAAATCAATGTGCCAAATTTGGAAGGTGTTGCCGTTGTCTCAGCCCTTTTTAATGCCGAATGTGTTTCTTCGGCAACTAAGCAGCTGCATGAAATTCTAAAGCAGGCTGTACAAACAAGAAAGTAGGGAAAGAAGAGTCGTGATGGAAATGTTGTTGCTGTTCATAATTCTGATCATGTGTGCTCTAAAATGCATTTTTTGGTGAGGTGAGTTTAAAGCTTAACATACAATGCTCAACAGATGAGAAGGATCATGTGGAAGACATTAGAGATCTCATGCCTTTCATTGACTCATTCTATTTGCTCTTGATTATTGATTTTGGATTCATGGCTACAATGAGAAATGGTTGATCCATTTAGCGTGTTGTGATTTGTCTATCTTTTATATTCTATTTATTTTTGTTACTTTTCTTTTTAAAATAATGTACTTAAAATGTGGCATTTATAAATTTAAGGGAGAGCTTTTTGAACACTTGTAATCTTTAAATCCAACATTTACTATTGTTGGTTTATCATTGTGATTTGTGATTTTGTGAAGCAGATTGATGTGCTGGTAGGTTATTGAGTATTAGGATAAATGGTTTTCAATGAAGGGTGACTTTTGATTTTGGGATATGGCCCATATGGGACGATCTTTCATTAAATTTGGCGTTACTTAACTTCCTACTTTCATAGTTGGATGTATTCATGTTATACACAAATTTGCAACTTGGCCAAATTCATGAATATCTTGTGTATGGAGTATTGACCCATTTATTGGTAGTTCTAACAACTAATTATACCAAAATTAATACTTTGTATTAAGTTTACGAACTAATAATAAGAACTACTAAACAATGACACTATTTTCTCTCTTCCCTTATGCTTGTCAACCGGTGCACGAAACATTTCTAATTTTCTTTTCTATGGACTTCCCCCGTTCCCTCTGTGTGTGTGCTCGCGCCTTTTGGTGTGGACATGTTACATTTACCTCTAGTATCACAATGTATGGTGGATATATTCATAAACTAGTTGTACCTAGTTTCTTAGAAAATTATGGAAGGGTTTATATGAGTTTTGTACAATTGTACGTAGTCTTTCATCTCCTTAGTCTTCTAACTACTTGTTGCCTTGCTTTGTTGGTGACGAGTGGGACGTTATTACAAAGTAGATGACAACATAATGGAAGAATTATGTCAAATAACTACCAATGTCGTCATGTGACAACATAATGTCATGATTTCAACCTTATAAAATATCAAGAATATCAATTATATGCAAACAAATGTATTAAATCGATCAAGAGGCCAATACAAATGAAACAAGAATTGAAGTTCTAAAAAAAAAAAAAAAAAAAAAAGGAGATACACCCCAGAGGAGTGAAAACTGAGAACACAGGATGTAATTAGCTTAATTTGCATTATTAAGATTGCTAATTATCTCTTGTGTTCTCAGGTCACCCCTTTGGGAAATATCTTGTTATTCAATATTATTATTATTCAATATTCATATATTCAATTGCTAAAGGTATGAGTTTCTCTTGTTGTTTTGTCTATTTGTAAAATGTAAGTAATGTTTATAGACTATAACAGTGCTATGTGTGACAAACAAGTCGTTTGACAAAGAGTGTCAAAATCAATTCAATTTTGATATTACTACTCCGTCCCTCAAAGAATGTCTCAAGATTTGCCTTTTTCCCTAAAACTTTTTATATTGCATGGTTCTTTGTGTAGTGAGAAGACAGAGGCTAGAGGGAAAAACAAAATTTTCATAAACAAAGAGGAGAAGAACCGTGCTAATTTTGGAGTGAAATTTTTTTCTCACCAAATATAGGAAGAGGTGCCAAAAAAGTCAAAATATGGAAAACATAAAACTAACAGAAGTTCTCAAGTCTTAACGAAAGGTTAATGGCAAAGATATAGTGGATTAACAAACTGTTTTTTAATGGGTACCTTGCATAATATTGAAAACAGTGGAGACTATTTTAAAAAGTTATTTTTACAAAAGCACTATTTGGAAACATCCAAAGGTATCAATTTGAAAATTAGGATTAAGTTTGATTATGCAGATTGGATTAGGTCAAATTTTAAACTTAAGTCATATTAAATTATTATATTCATGCGAATCAAAATTAAAATATTAGGTAGGATATTTTTTGAGTTGATTTCGAATTAAAAAGATCGGGTCAGGTTTTGACGATAAGATTATTGAGTATTAGGTCAAATTTTAAACCTTAGCGAGTTAATTTCGAATTAAAAAGTACAAAAAAAAGAAGAGGAAACAGAAATAGTGATCTTCAACTGAAAATGGAGATGGAGACAGACGCTTCAAATGACACAGAAATCACCTCAACCCAACTCTTCAAAGCCGCCGAATCCGGCGACGCTTCCCTCTTCAACTCTCTCTCCAAAACCCAACCCTCCAAATTTCTCTCTCTTCAAAATGACGACGCTCGCTCGCTCCTCCATGTCGCCGCTTCCTCTGCACATTCCAAGGTTGCATTTTTCAATTCTTCAATTTTGATTTCTGTTTTTTAGGGTTTTGTTGGTTTAATCAAATTCAATTTTTCTGGGTTTTATTAGGTGGTTGAAATTCTAGCTGAAGCTGATTCAACAGGGAAAGTGATTAATAACAAGGATGAAGAAGGGTGGGCCCCAATTCATTCTGCTTGTAGTATTGGAAATCTTGACATCCTCCAAATTCTCCTTACTAAAGGTTTGTGATTTCCTTTGTAAATTCAGTGGAATTAACCTGGGTTTAATTTTATTTTAGGATTCTTGTCATTTACGCTTCAAATTTTAGCAAGGTTTTGGGTTGATTGAGGAATTAAGGGTGTAATGGGGTTGGTTGTTGAACTTTTAGATTGGTTTATAATTTGAAATACTTCGTATTTTAAGTTCTTAATAATGTATACAAGTACTCATATTTGGATTGTGATTGTATGTTAACAAGCATTCGTAGTGATATGTTTAACTCGAGGGCGGAGGCACTATGTGTTTGGCATTGTAGATTTGCTTGAGTGCTGGGTTTATCCAGTAATTGCACTTGCTTTTGGGGTGCATAAAATCTGAATGATTCTAATTATATACGTCGGTATGAGGTCCGACACACTGTTGTTTAGAAAGAGTGTTTTGAACTGCATTCCCGTTGTCACTGGCAAGATGCATGCTGCATGTCACTGATATTAATGTTGTTGTATACTTGTTTTAGTGTTAGGTTCTGTCTGATGAAATGATGATGATAAGTTTGGGCTAAATTGATTGATGACGATGGACTAAGTTTATGAAATGATAAGTGATACTTTAGGCTCCATTGTTTCAATAGAAATTCATTTTTCCCATGGAAAACAATTTCAAGGAAAAACATAATTATAGAAATAGTTTTCATTTGTTTCTTTATAAGATAAATTATAGATGAAGAGGAAAAATATGAGTGGAAGAGAGAAGATGGATGGGAGGAGAGGAAAGGGATATTAGTTGTGAGAAAAATGTGGCAATCTATCATTTTTAAAAGGAAGATGTTTTTTACTCTTGGAAAATATATTTTTCACACTTGAGAAGATTATAATAAAATGTTTTCCGCCAAAACAAAAGCAACCTTAGTGAATGAAGTTATTTTGTAGCAAGAAAATCATAATATTTGGTTCTTAAGGTTTTGTAGTTGACCACCGTTTGCGGTGTGATCCCTTGATTCCATCTCTCTACTTTCTATGTTTTGAATATCATAGTAATATTTTTAAATTGACACTCATATATAATTATATTGTAATGCGATGAGTGGGCTTTGAATCAATTTAGTTATCTAATATAATGTACTGATATGTCCTAGGTCTCTGGACAACACCTTTCAATACTTTCAGTTTAGATGGCATTGTCATAGAATTGAAAAGCCTCCTAGGAAACTACTGAAAAGGCATGGGGTGTTGATGTGCTGTGTCTGTACTTCTGTGGTAGGGCCGTAGGGTAGTAGTAGTACATTAAGAGAAAGTTCTCTGAGTGATGCAACAGGTGAGAGAGTGGCTTTAGTTTACCTTGTTCCTATATCCTCGGTCCATCATAAGAAAATTAAAAGGTAGAAATAGGTTTATACAATAAAAAAAATGAGGATTGTTAATGAGCGAAATGAAAAAGAATTTAAACTGTCTTTGGTTTCAAATCTCTTGCTAATAGGATCAGCTTGTGGGCAAATGCAGAGGTTGTAAATTGGCAATTAGAGTAAATTATATACTAACTTTCCTTCCTCGTGTTTGTGTGTCAATTTCTTGTCTTTTGAGGTACTAAGTTCAAAAGAAAACATGAGTATATGAGTTAATGAAGGGCATGACTGGTAGTGATCAAATATATAGATGCTGAATGCTAGGAGTAACCGACCTTTGCTCAAGGCATAGGAAGTGAAGTTGATGTGGTCAAGGCCTACTCATAACATCAACAGTTGAAACAAGGAACCAGGAGGGTTTCACCAATGACAGAAATGCAGCAAAATTAGGTTGTAAGTCAGTTATGTTTAGGTTGTCCCATGAGGAGTAAATGGGTCCATAATTTGGAGTCAACGTTGAAGTTTAGTGAGGTCTTGGTTATTCTTTTTACTGGAGGAATTAGGGGCGCTGATGCATGACTAGGGAAAGAAATATGATGATGTACTGACAAGCAAGGGATGCTGGTGGGCATTGGTTAGGTTATAACAACCTTTGAGGATAGATGTTTTCATGGAACTTGACATCTATAAAGGCAAAACATTGTTTTGTGACTTTTGTCAGCAGATTGAACAATTTAAACCCCTTTAGTGTTTGAATTTATCCAAAAGGCACAACTTTGGTGAGAAATTATCCTTTTTTAATTCTTAGGACCTTCACGTGTGAGGGGGAGTGTTATTCCTTATGTTATTCACATGTGAGCTGGAGAATTGGAAAGAGATTTTTAACCTTATAAGCTCTAGGAGCTACTCTGCCCAGTGCTTGCTAATTAGTTTTGGGATGGAACCTGCTTTGGGGTTTAAGTCGGTCCAAATTTTAAACTTGTCATTTTCTGTTAATTAAAATATTTACAGTATTGGGTAGATATGAGATTACAAGACCAAAGAGCCCTATTTATTCTGTTTTGAGTACTTGATTGACCTAAAAAGGATTTCGAGGTGTTTGAGGACGTTACACTTATTTCCTTTTTCCTATATCCAATGTCGTATCTTTTTTTATCAACATCTGTATTTGTTGGATTTAATTATCATAATCATTGTTATTTTTGCTGTTGTTTATTGTTTTTCAGGGTGTATTCTATTTACCCGATTTTTACTTCTTACCTGAAATTATTGTAGTTGTAAATTAAACATGGATAATCCTTATCAAAACTAATCTGTACTTGTTTTGCTCGAAAAAAGTGGAAATAAGGTGAACAAATGGGGCCTTGTGTATAAAATAGTTACGTATTACTCCCTCCATTCCTTTATTAGAAGCCTATTTCTAATATTTATTTCTCACATAATAAAGAGAAATAGGCTTCTAATATAGGGACGGAAGTAATATGAATTAAAAGTTGATTTTATAAACACACAAAAATTAACCGAATTAATATTTTTTGGATCTAGTCATTCTAGTAATTTTTTTACAGCATGATATGAGTGTATAATATGTGGTTTTGATCCTTCTAATAAAATTTCCTGGCTCCACCCCTGTGGACAGGAGCTGATGTTAACTTGAAAAATGATGGTGGTCGAACTGCTCTTCACTATGCTGCTAGCAAGGGATGGGTGAAGGTTGCTGAGTTGTTGCTTGCCCATGGTGCAAACATCAATGCTAAGGACAAGGTTCATTGTCAAAATAACTTTTTATAGAGAAAAGAAACATTTTATTTTTTTTCAACTTTATTGTAATTTTTGATCTAAATACTCCTGTTGCACATTGTGGCTAATGCTCAAGAGTTTGTTTTAGGTTGGATGCACACCACTGCATCGTGCAGCTAGCACAGGGAACTCAGAGTTGTGTGAACTCCTCATTGAAGAAGGAGCAGAGATTGATGCCCTTGACAGAGCTGATCAAACTCCTCTAATGACTGCTGTCATTTGTGAAGACAGACAGGTAATTTTTAGATGACTAGCTCTTTGTGATGTCATCTTACCAGCCTTAGCTATATGATTCTTTTTCTTTCCATATTCTTTCTTGGGTCTTCCCTTCAAAATATCACTAATAAACGAAAATTTAAAGAGGGTTAAGTTGGGTGGTTTTCATCTTGGTCTGCCGCTTTGAAAATTGGCCCTGTTGCTGCTCTTGTGATTAAGATTTCTGAGATGATTGACAGCAAACATCTTCCAATAATAATTTGTTGTTACATTGTCCACCCGGCCACCCCTCTCATAGTTCATTTTGTTTATAATTTTCAAATGCACCCTATATAATCAGTGTGTAATTTTTTCCTCTCCTCATTACTTGAATAGTAAGGAAGTATTAGGATATCATATATTCATATACCCTATATATATTAGAATGGTAACGGCTAGTATATGTACCAACAAATATCAAACAGAGGAAGTTGATTCTATTCTAGAATTAAATTAGTAAGATTTACTGCCACTGTCCAGTCTGCAATTAAGTTTTTGACAATGTGGCCAATATGAACTCTGTTATTCTTTTTTAGACTTTGCTGTCAGTCAAAATTGCTGCAAATTACCTTGATAATTTTCTTTCCACTATTGCTACATGCCCACACCTAAAATTCTGTTCTTGTTATTACACTTCACTTTTTAACTGCATTTACCGGTTTCAAAAACAGCACTTCATTGCTATCAACAGTATGTACCTCACCTGTTGCAAGGAACTTGGCTTCATAATCTGATTTCTGGAATTGATTTGGTGACAGGTTGCACTTCTTCTAGTAAGACATGGAGCCGATGTGGATATTGAAGACAAAGAAGGTTATACAGTCTTAGGTCGCTCCCCAAAGGATCTTAGGGATGCTATTATTGATGCTGCAAAAGCCATGATGGAAGGCTAAACCATAAGATGATGTGGTTACAAACTTGACAAGGGTAACTCCCTCCTAAGTGTTTTTGGCATGCTAAGGTCATTCGTTCATATCTTCCTTGTTGAGCCTATATACTGATGTAAATGGTGTTGGAAATCCAAAGGCAGTCCTAATTAACAACTTCCAATATTTTGATCAGCTTAACTTCAACATCATTTACGGAATAACATGTTTTGCTGTTACTTGTACACATTACTAACATTGTATTGAATCCACTTCTATCAGCAGGTTGCATTAAAACCTTGACTGTACAGAAGGGAGTAAACCAAGTTTTCAATTGAACTTCAGAGGTGAACATTTGCAGTGTTGTATCAGTCAAGTGGTTTTGAAATATTCAGGCATTGTCAAATCGATTTCATCCTCAAGAAGGAAGCTTTTTCATATTAAGGAGACTAATGCTCACCGAGAGTTGATATTATTTCTTTTGTTGTGATTCCATTGTATTCTGCTTGGCAATTACCATGGGATAGATGAAGATGCATATTCCTTCATCGAATAAATGAGTGTAAAAAAGAGTGTGCCCTTACGTTTGACAATTGTCTCATATTTGGTATACACAATAACACAAGTTCTTACAATTTATAACCCTCTGCTCTAGTTTTTTTCTTTTTTTTTTTCAAACACTCTACTGTAGTTTGAGCGATATATTTATATTTCCTCAAATACATTATTTTTGCGTAAATTCTTACATTCAGTCCAAGTAAACACTTTTTTATAAATGCAAATATAGTAATGAATCCGCTCGTTGAACACTCAACAACTTGATTGAATTAAGATTCCACAAAATTAGAATCTCCTTGTTGAATGACTTTTTTTCCTCGGGATAGAAGGGTCAATATAATTGATGTTATATGAAGAAAATAATCGATAACTCAATTTGTGGTTTAGTGCTGTACCAAGGAAAGCTATCAATTCGATTAGCGGTTTATCTGGGAAAATCGTGCATAAAATTCAGTCATGGTAGATAAATAGTCATCCATTAACCCAGTGATTGAATTAGAGGTTTATTAAATTAAGAAACACCAGTTCAGTTCAGTTCAGTTCAGCTCAGTCAATCCAGTCAATGAGAACAGACCCTAAATTAGTGTTTTAGTGTAATATATCACTAGTTGCCTCGATTTTTTATAGTCTTATTTAATAATGATTCACTTAGCTTCCTTTGGAAAAAAAAAATAAAAAAAAATTCACTTGTTAGCTTGGACAATATGAGATTGTAAAATCAAAAGATGCATTTGGAATCTTTAAATTATCTAGGAAAATCATTTTATTATCTAGCGAAATAAATCCTTCAGCAAGATTTTAAATCTTGAATGATTGGACTTTTAATGAAAAAATCATCTGCATCCTACATAATCCCTTCATCCAATATTAATTGATATATAGGATTCCAGTCTCTTTTTAGTGTTCCTTATATAGAGCAAGTTCATTTTTAAGAAGTGTAATTGATTAATTTAAGAGGAAGAGGAAGAGGGAGAAAGCAAGTAGGGCATCAAATGAGAAAATATACCAAATAACGCAATTGAGTAATATCAAGGGGCATCCCATAAAAAAATAGACAAAAAAATACTAGTTTATCAATATGATAAACAGGTAAAATTGTAAATAAATCAACAACTTTTTATTAAATTTGGGCCATATTCTGTTCACTTTCTTTCTACTTATTTTAGGGTTAATAAGTTCGGAAACTATTTTGTTCACTTTCTTTCTACTTATTTTCGGGTTAATAAGTTCAGAAAAAAAAAAAGTTCAAATAAGTTCAGCTAAGTTGTGACAAGGTTTAATTAGGGTTATTTAAGTTTAATTTATAAGTAAAATAAGTTTTAATAAGGGCTAATAAGTTCAGATAAGTAAAAATCATTTTAACAGAACGCAATCTTGGGTTCCACTGTTAATATATTTATGAAAATAATATGATAATTAAACTTTTATATTGTTTTATTTACTATTTTGATTAACCGAAACTTTTCTAAAATTAGAAATTATGTCCACATATAACACAAACAAAAATGAAAAGAGGGAATAGCAACTAACGGGCCTAATGCCTTTGAAAAGGCAAGACAATCAAAACTAATGCCAACCGTTTATTTTTGTTCTCTTGTTATCTTTTCTCTACTCTCTTTGTAAGAGAGGGAGTTTGAAAGGAAGAAGAAAGAAGGTGAGAAACACCCCTATTTTCCAATGATTTCTTCATCTTTACACTCCTCTTTTCATGGCTCTTCTCTTCAACTTCCTCTTACCAATCAATACCCAAAAAAATTTCAATCTACAATTTTCATTTCCCAAATTAAATCTCAAAAAAACTTAGTGTCCAATTATGTTAACAATCCTCCTACTGCTAAACTCACCCAACAAGAAATGCAAAAATATTGTGTTCCTTTAGCTATTTCATTAGTCCTTTGTTGGTCTAATCCAGGTAATCTCATTTCTAATTTTCTTTCATTTTTATTATTTGATGAATTGGCATTTTACTGATTTTTTTTTTTTTTTTTTGGTGAAATTATGTAGCTGAAGCGGGGTTTTTGTCTGGCTCTACTGGAATTGAATCTATTCCAGGTCCTGAACTTCCCAAGGTTGAATTCCTAGATCGCTTTAATGGTATGTAGTCCATAAACTCGTACTACTCTAGTCCGGATTTTATCCTCATGTCACGTGTTACTAGAGTAATTTGAACTAGTAATGTGACAACTAAACTAACTGTGATTGCGCTGTTTGGTTACTTTGATGATACCTGCAGAAGAGAACCAAAAGAAGTACGCTGAAAATGATGAGAGAATCAAGTCATCCCCTATTATCAAAGAGCTACTTGAACGGTCCAAAAAGAATAAGGAAAAGTAAATTTCTAATACCCTTACAAAGTTTATTACATCATGTTTATTATATGCTACGGTAGGATATTCTTGTTATGTTATTGAAATCACTCGGCTTTGTTCAAAATTAATTATCACGTTGATAACATGTTATTTGCATCGATAATGTGACAACTGAATTTGGTTATGGTAAAATTGACAGGAACAAACAAGAAATATTGGACAAGTATTGCTTACGAGGAGCAGAGTGGGGAGTTGGAGATTGCTCTACTGAAGGAATGACAGCAGAGGAAAGAGATACTTTCATAGAAACGCTCAAGCAGAAGATTGGCACCAAATGATTTTTTATTTTTTTTAGAGGAAAAAAAAAAAAAAAATCTTTTTGTAAGCCATTAATTAGCTAGTCATGATCCATGTACACAAGTTATTAAAGTTTTACTCTTGTTTGATCTCATTTGAAATTTTGAATCTAATTTTCATGAAAGTATTCTTATAAAACTACTTTGTTTTAACTTATACAATTATACTACATACATATAATTTTATAGAGTATCTTTATTATAAAAGGAAAATAATAGACATAATACGTCCTATTAAGAAAATACCATATTATCAACTTTCCATGAAAAAATATTTTAAAAATCATTAATTAATATAGACATGTAGACATTTGGCTAGCTAATCATGGAGTTTCCCAGAACAACCTCATCGATTCAATTCCCTCCTATAGTTTTAGGGTAGGGCGTATTCTACATGATGATGTTGTCAGGGTGGCTTTGCCACGACTTGTGTATATATATATATATATATAGACATTTGACTTTAATGCTATTCTAACCACAATATTATACGAATTTACGAAGTACTCGTATATATTTATATGCATGTAGTTGCACTATGAGGAAAACATTAAATTTAATACTAGGTGTTTTGAGAGGTAGGTACAAGTGATAAAACTTGATGCGTAGATAGTATATTCAAGAGTGAGTATTACAGAAACACTAAGGTGACTTTTACTCATGGTTAGGGAAAAACCTTAAAATTGCAACCAAAAATCAGGGAGGAAGCAAACTCTAAAATTGAAGATCAAAACACATATAAGTATACAACATGCTCCGTAGTTGGTGTATCTTGAAGGATATTCTAAGAGGGTCACTATTGAGTACTCACTAATGATTAAGTTGTTACTCATATAAGTTCTAGGATTTCGATCATACACAAGATCGACATAGATGTAAAATTACACCCTCTCACATTCTACACACAAAGGTTGAATACGAGAGAAATAGTTATAAAATGAACATTGTATTATAAGCCATCATGAATCTCTTTAAATCTTGCTTACATCAAGATTAAACAAGTTTAAATCAAAGACTGAATACTTTAATATTTTATGAAGTAATGTAAAAGTCTCGTTAGTAAATAATATAGAACAATATAGAAGAACACAGTCTACCCCAAAGCAAAAAAAATTATCAAAATGCTCATGAATTTGAGTGAAAGGTTAGAGATTCAAATTCCAATCTATCTATATTTTCGACAAGATTCGCCATTAAGTATCACAATGCCTAAGTGATAGAGAATCGAACACCCAACCTTTGTGATGCGATGCTATTTGATCCTCCTACGAGGCTAAAGAAGCTAGGCTGGCAAACAAAAAGAAACACAAATGGAATAAGCCAATATCCAAGTCAAAACCCAGAATAATTGCAAACGAAAAAAGAAAGGGAAAAAAGACGTCTTCAATCATATGTTGGGTTCTGGTACAAGTTGATCCTTTCAAGCTCATCGATAATTCTCCAAACTCATCTTCGCCCACCTTTCTTCCTCTTTCTCCATCTCCCTCTTTCTCTCTCCAGGTATTTTTCTGTTCTACCCACTACTTTTAATTATGAATTTGTTAATTTTTCATCACTTTACTTCATTATTTTCAATTCTTTCTTAATCACAACAATTTTCAAGTTATATGGTTGCAAAAAGTGTTAATCTTGCTTGTTATTTATCCCCCATGTTTGATTGTGATTCTTCCCGTCTTTCTATTTTTAATTTGGGTTTTTTCTGTGGTTTTTGGGGATGTTTTGGTGTACTTTGATTCTAATTGCTGACACAATATTTTCTGCAATTGATTATTTAATCATTCTTATTTGGGATTTGTTTCAATTTTGTTCTAAGTCTAGATTTAATTTAAATATGTGAAATTAATTGTTTCTGTGCTGTTGAATTATGGATCTGTATTGGGTCATTGCTCGAATGAATCCTTTTCATGGAAGTTTAATTGTTGATATTATGCAATGCTGAAGAAACCCTTTTCATGATTATGTATTTGGTGGGCAGGAAAATGAGGTGCTAGTTTATGAGGGTTTGAGGTAGAGGAGCCCTGGAAAGCTTTGTTGAGTAATTGGGGAAACATGTATAGATCAATGCCTACTGAACCCACTAGGGATGGGTCACCAGCTGATACGGTAGATTCTGTTGTGACTTTGGATCAAGTACCTCGGTGGAGCGATACTGAGGTTCGTTGGTCTTCAGAACACCAAGGTGATGACTCGGTTTATCCTAGTTCTCATTTCCCTGATCCTCTTGCATCAGCTTCTACTTCAGAGAATGGAAGTAATGGAATGGTGTCTAGATTTCCTGTTGACCATGAGATTAACTCGAAGGTTTATCTATGGAGGGGAAATCCTTGGAATATTGAAGTAGATGCTGTTGTTAACTCCACGAACGAGGTAACTTACTATCATACTTTTGCTGTGTTTCTCTTTGCCTGTATTGCCTGCA